TAAAAAACAAACTTAAAGCTGAACTGGACAGAATGGAAAAACAAGGAATAATACTACCCACAACAGGACTGACAAAATGGGTCAATTCAGTTGTAATAGTAGAGAAAGCAAATGGGAAAATTAAACTGTTTAGATCCATGAGATTTAAATAAAGTTATTTATTAGAACATTATAAACTTCCAGCTGCAGAAGAATTTTTTTCAGAAATACAAAATGCAAAATACTTTTCAAAACTTGATGCATCAAATGGATTCTGGCAAATTCCAGTTGACAAATCAAGCTTTTAATTACTTACTTTTAACACACCTTTTGGAAGGTACAGGTTTACCAGACTTTCATATGGAATACACAGTGCCAGTGAGTTATTTCAAATTCAAATATCTCAACTAATAGAAAATATGCAAAAATGCACAGGATGACATAATCATATGGTCCTACGCATTACAAGATCATATCAACACTTTAAAAGTGTTTCATGACAATTTGAAAAAATGGTTTAAAATTGAATAAAAGCAAGAGCAATTCTTTTCAAACAGAAATCATATATCTAGGCTACACACTAAACAATGAAGTAATTAAACCAGATCCATCTAAAGTTGATGCTATAATAAACATGCCACAACCAAAATGCAAAGAAGAATTGCAAAGATTTCTAGGTAGAACAAATTACTATGCAAGTTCTTACCAAACTATTCTGACATAACACAGCTGTTACATCAACTACTCCAAGGAAACACAGTATGGTCATTTGAACAACCACAAAAAGATGCTATTAACAAGCTTAAAGAAATAATCACTAGTCGACCAGTACTACAATTCTACAACCCAAACCTTCCTACAAAAATAACCACAGTTTCTAGTAAATATGGATTAGGTGCAGTATTAGAACAAGAGCAAAATGGCAAATGGTTACCAGTAACATCATGTGCAACAACACCCACAGAACAAAATTATTGTACACTTGAAAGGGAAACCTTAAGTATAGTTTTTGGATACAAGAAATTTCATGAATTTGTGTATGGTATCCACTTAAGAATTGAAAATTACCACAAGTCACTAAAACAAATATTCAAAACAGAAATTACAAAAGCACCACCTAGAATTCAAAGATTCATTAGTCATTGCAGTAGTACAACTTTGATCTCCACTATATACCAGGCAAAGAAGCTATCATTGCAGATGCGCTGTCACAAGCATATATTCCAGATAACACCCTGGAAATATGTAAAAACATGGAAGCACATATCCATTTAATAATGAAGGCATTCCCAATGAGTAACAGTAAATTAGAAGACAGCAACTGATCCAGATTTACAATTACTAAAAACATACACAAGAAACATACCATCATCACTTATACTTCATTTAGAGATGAACTTACAAAAGCAAAAGGTCTAGTACTAAAAAACTCTAAAATAATATTCCCAACAAAACTGAGAGATCAAGTTTGCAAGCTCATATATACTGGACACATAGGCATAGAAAAATCTATATTCAGAGCCAGGGAATGCCTGGAATGAATTCACAAATAAAAAATATGATCAGCAATTGCCCAATATGCATAAATCATAGAAGCAAATAATCAAGTGAAACACCAATTCTACATGAAATATTTAAAACACCATGGACCAAAGTTGGAATGCATTTATGCAATCATTCATTTTTAATAATAGTGGATTACACTACAAAATACTTTGACATAAACCAAGTTCCAAATATGGAGTCTGACACAGTCATACACTATGCCAAATCATCATTTGCAAAATTTGGAATTCCTCAAATAGTTGTATCTGATGGAGGACCTGAATTTAAATCATGCCTGTTCAAACAATGGGATTTTGAACATATAATCACAAGCCCAAATTACCTGCAGTGAAATGGAATGGTTAAAAGAACCATACAAACCATCAAAAGAACACTAAAAAAAGCTATAGAAAATAAGGAGGATATACACGTCATTACAACCCCACTAAAAAATGAACCCTCACCAGCTAAAGGCTTAATGAACAGAGGCATATATACTAACTTATCAAACATAACAAAAAAAACTAGCAATCCTCATATATGCAATCACCAACAAAAATCATGTGAACTATCTACACTTAACCCCAATGATACAGTATGCATACTATTCAATAATGATTGGCAAAGAAAAGTTGTGAATAAACTAAATACACCTAGATCATACCTAGTCATTATGCAAGAAGGTCGGTACCTGAAACAAAATAAATGATATCTACTAAAGATAAATGAAGCATTCCAGCACTCACATAAAAATAAATATTATTACACCATACCAAATGATGTTGAACCAAACAATACAAATACATAACAGTTCATATCCTCAGTGTTTGTCCTTCTATTTGTAAGTCCTTTGAGGGTGTCATGCATATGGTTCAATTCAATGAACACGCCTATTTTTTTTTTTACATACAACAAATGATCTGAATTAATTCTTAGTTCATTGTCTTTCTCTAAACAAATACCTTAAAACTGAAGAAAGTAAATTTGCAATTATGTTCTTTTCCTGTAGTTATTGTTAGTCTGATAGAATTCATATGATCCTTTAGTGCCTCTAGGCATATGGTCATATTACATTGAAACACCAATATTTGTATGATCATAAAAGTTAAGCAACATCAAACCTGGTCACTGGTCAGTATCTAGATGAGTGACCACTTGGGAATACCAGGTGCTGTAAGTTTGGATCTGCAAGTGCTACAATGGATAATGGCTTAGAATTTGAAATAAGAGAGCCGAGTTCCAGTTCCAGTCAGATTCATTATATTCATTTACATGCAAATACACTTGGGCAAGCTATGAATCAACCTTTTTATCATCAGCTATGAGAACTTGTATCAGTAAAATCATTATTATCTCAAAAAATTGTCACACTCTAAAAACATTTTCTGGTTTTAAATAACCTAAAAAGGGTTGATATGCTATAAAAAAAAAACAAATCAATCAATATACATCTCCCCATACCAGATGAGATACAATTATGAAAACCTACTGTCTTTACTGTACAAGAGATAGATTATTAGTATTTTATAGTACTATTCTAAGAGCCAATTCTTTAAAATGTTATATATCAGGATGGAAAATAAAATTGCAACACTGTGAAAGATGATGCCAAATTTGATCTTTGGTATGGTTATGTGCATGTTAGGGAGTAGTGGATATTCTGCTGAAAATTTTAAGTCTTTGACCATCTTGTGATATTAACACCCTGTATATAAGTTTAAGATAATGGAGCATGCTGCAACAAGGTATGGTGAAAATGTCTATTGCCAGTGGGTGTCATGCTGTGGAAATACATGCATGCACCTTTTATATAATTAAAGCGTTTTTGGGAGGAGTCAGATTGTGAACTTGCAAGAGGCTGGATGTACATTTCAGGTAACTGCTGTGCATGTTGAACATGACATATTGATGGTATTTTGATATTGGCAACAGGGTCAAATGAATATTCCTACACTTGTTGACCAAGTTATGGATGACCACATAATATAGATGCCTGTAAGGCAGCAGTGACATACTACATGACATTCAGTATATATCAGAGAAAATTTTGCCCCAGGAATGTCAGCATGGATTGTTGGGAATTGTTTACTTATAGCAGAATGACAGGTACCTATAACTCTAGCCGGACTTCCATTTATGCCACAACACTATTGTATCTGTTTCCAATGTCATCATATTATTAGGAGTCAAATGGTGCTTCATCATGTTCTGTGATGAAAGCAGATTGTACCTTCATGCAATTAATAGATACAGCTTGAACTCACCATTGATGTTTGTAGAGAGGTGAACAACTCATCACTGCCGTTTCTACAACAGAATATTGCCTGCACCACTCAGCATGCTCTGCAATATGTTCAACAATTTCCCTGACTGACACAATTGCTAGACCCCTGTCTCCCATTGAAAATATATGGGATGATATCTGACTCATTCACTTAGCCCACCTATGATTCTTACTGCATCAACAGGTGCAAGAGGCATAGAATAATGCATAGCAGGATGGCAGTCTCTATCTGTATGATTGTATGTATGTGAATGTACAGGCCTATACTAATACATTGTATTAATATATGGTCAGAGTAATGTTTATACAATCCTTATTTTGGAGCCTGTGCACAAAATGATCTGTATATATGATCATTTGCTGTAATACATTTATATTAATTATATGTTTAATCTTTAGTAAATTGGAACACATATTCAGACTACTGTCCATCAGTTATTATCTAGAAGTGATTTTATTTTTAGTTTATTAAAAAATATTAACATTGTGCAATTTTATATCCTTATTTCTTCCTATGTTACTAAGTGGTACACACAATACAAAGAACACAAAAATGTCAATACAAAATAGCAGTGAAAAAATGTAAAAATAAATTAGGCCAGGAATTCATTAAAAAGTAATTTTAATGTTTGGTTAAAACATCAGAATTACTTTTTAATGAACTCCTTGTTGGGCCAAGAATTTTTCAACATTCACTCATATCTTCCTTTTCTTGTTAATTAGTTTTTTCTTTGTTATTCAGTGCTATTTTCAGTTATAAATTTCTATGAATTTTTTCAGTTATAATTCTTGCATATTAATGTTTACACATTTAAGTTGGAATTGAATTATGGTTTAACAGCCATAAAATGACACAGTGTATTCTGTTTAAAACAAGCGCCACATTCTTTATTACCCAGAATAACCTTGTGTTACAATTTACACAAACTTGAAATATAAACCAAAATGAAACAGAGCAATAATATATAACAAAAATAAATATTTATTTGGTCTTATGCTGGACTAAGCAAAGTTCATTATTAATAATAAATTTCTAGCTAAATCAATTGTTCATAAACCATTGATCTTAGGTTCAATTCTAGCTGAATGCCCTATAAAAATTTGTGAATTGATTTTATTTAAGACTGTGACTTTGTAAATATTTTTGCTTTCTAGTTTATTTCAGTCTATCTATCTTTGTTTCTACTTGCAGAGAAATTTTCAAGAATTGCAAACAAAAATTCAAGCTATATTTTCAAAATTAAATGAACCTAACAAATTAATTACACTCTGGTTCCTTGGAAAATGTCAACAGGATTTCACATGGTGCCATTGATACCTCTTGATTTAGATGAAAAATAAATAAAAATTTTCTTTTAAATTACAATTTAACTGTAGCATAAATGTCAAGAATTTGTATTTGATTTTTTTAAAAATGATTTGAATAGCCAACAGTAAAGAAAATAGTCTTTGGATTTTATCTAAACACAGTTAATAAGAGTTGCTACATTTCACAAATAAAAATTTCAGAATAGTACAAAGGTGAGAAAGAGGTAAGAAAGAGTGGCTGTACTGCAACTTTTGTTATTTCTATTTATCTTCAATCACTTTTACTTTAAAGACTATAAAAGATTGAAAGCCCAACTCATAAATTTAAACTTAAAAATTGGTCAATACCCACCTCCCTAGTTCTTCAAAATTTTAATAACATTGTTATTCATGAACTTTAAACATTTTATTGCATCCCTTCAGCTTTTATAATTAGTTGGTTATTTTCATTTTTTAAGATAATAGCTATAGCCTTTTTAATTCAGAAAACTTGGTACCCATTTGTATCTATGCAGGCAATCAAGAAAATGCTTAAAATTAATATTTTCTGATTATTAATTAGTTTTAGTGAAGCAGACTTTACCTTTAAGAACTATTTAACCATAACCTTATTTAAAAGATATGTACCTTTTTTTAAAATCATTTCACTCCAAGCAAGAAACCACTAGGTCACAAGGGGTTACTGAATGTGAAAGAATATGAGAAAAAATACAATATTAAGAATAATAAAGAACAATAAAAGAACAGAAATTAAGAAGGCAGAAGATAATGATTGACATAGTATTTACATTTTAAGGATCAAAGAAGCCAGAAAAGATTTCTACAAGTGAGAAGTGAGAAAGAAACTCTTAGCATAGAACTTACTATTACATTTCAACTGTAAAATGATGAGATCTTATCACCAATCTAGTACTACACTTAAATCATAAAACCAAGGTACCATAAAGGAAGGTTCATCAGAAAAATTACTATGAATGTATTTATAGAAAAGGCACAACTACTATGAATGTATTTATAGAAAAGGCACAATTACTATGAATGTATTTATAGAAAAGGCTACATTATGGTAGTGGGAAAGTGTTTGAAGCCAAGATGCCATGTTAGGATCAATAACATTGCAGATTCTTCCTTGTAGTTTATCAAGAATCTCTAAATATATAACAGAAATACCAAACCAGATGTGGCAGCAATATTCAATGCATGGATGAATATAAATATGTAAGATAGATTCTGACAATAACAGTCATTTAGCACAACACAGTGAACCAGCTTTCCTAGCAGCAGACCTAGCAATTGATTCAATATGATATTTCCACTTCATGTCTGTGGAAAATGTTACTGTTGCAATGAATTACTCTCTTGGAGGTTAGCATCAGCCATATTAATGGAAGGCAAAAAGGGTTCTCTCAGATGATTAAAAGAAAGAAGTTTCATTTTGGAGGCATTAAAATTAATAAACCTTTTCTTGTCCCAGTTTGAAGGTCATTTTTGAGATCAGTTAACAATTTGACCTTTTCAAACTGGTCAGACTTTTTATTAACATAGATATACAAAAAAGTATACATGTTTAGTTGGAAGCTTTGTGTACTGAAATATTTAAATGGGTACCACAAGGTGTTTTTTACTTTTTTTCTTTTTTTTTTAATTATTACTTTTAGTAAATTGAAAGCAATTTTCTCTTTTCAAAATTATTATTGCTGAAATGCTAAACATGGAATATCTTGGCTGGCATAAACTAGAACTTGGTTTGCATAAATTAACACTCACTGGTAGCAAGAAAAATTATATTAAAAGATCCCATTTTTTCATAGACTATGGTGAAAACAAATATTTAAATTCAAATTAAATATTCTAAGAAAGAGTAATTGTTCTTCCATAATTTTAAGAATTTCTGAGCATATATTCAGTTCTAAATAAAATTATTAAAGCCATAATTACTGTTGCTCTAATGTCATGTGATTTTGTTTATGTGAAGGGTGTTGAAAAGTTCTTGGTTTGACCAAGAAGAATTTCCTAAATAAATTCTGATGCTTGGTTATTCACTGAAATTTTGGGGAAGTGGGTTGGGTCAAAAACGTTTCATAAGTTTTTGTTGTCCATTTTGGTATAGCAGTTACTTTTTCTACAATAAAAAAGAGCAAAATAATATCATTTTTCAAAATTCTTTTTGATAACATTTGATATCATCTTCATTGCTATATTCACGTTTCGGCCATTATACACTCTGGCTTCTTCTGTGATTTGAATTTTGAACCAAACCCTTTATTTTGTCCACCAGCATAGATTTTTCTAGTTCCATGTACCATGCCTGTTTGGAATATACAGAAAAACTGGAAGATCTTGTTGCAAATGGTAGCTACAGTAAAGTAAAGAAAGAACCTACAATGAAAACAGAACCCAAACTATCACAGATCATAATCAAGAATGAGGACCACTTCGCACCTAAGACACAATTGTCACAGCATTACACCAAGCTACCTCACATATACGGTCTCCCAAAGATTCACAAAAGTATTATTCTGCTCAGGCCAATTGTTAGCTGCCACCCTGTGAGTCACTTCCTAGTAGATATAATCGACCCATTAATCAGAAAGTCACCATCATATGTCCGGAACTCTGCCCACTTCATGGAAATAATTGAAGATGCTCCCATCAAATTCTGGTGAGCTGGATGTGGTGAGTTTGTTTACCAAGGTATCCATGGTGGAAACATTCTCAGTAGTCAGGGACATACTGGTCTTGGACTCCTCCCTAGAACAGACCAGTATATTAATAGATAACCTGATGGAGATGCTGACTTTCTGTATGCAAACAACATATTTCAGAATGGAATCAGACAGATATTGACAGGATGAGGGCTTAGCAATGTGCTCGCCATTATTACCAGCAATGGCAAACCTACATATGGAACACTTTGAAGAAATGACATTAGAATCAACACCACTAAAGCCAACCTTATGGCTGAGATACATAGATTACACCTATATACTCTGGCCACACTGGACCATGTGAACTCAATAAGATCATTGATACAATTCACAATGGAATGAGAAAACAACAAATTCGCCTTCCTGGATGTACTAATATCTCGAATAGAGCAGGGGTTCAAGACATCTGTGTACTGCAAGCCAACATTTACCAGACAATACCTCAACTTTAACTCCCACCATCCATACAGTGTAAAGAAAGGGATTGTCTACTGCTTACAATATCGAGTAAAAGATATAAGTGGTGACCCAGAAACATATGAACAAGAAATGGTCAGTATAAGCAGTACCCTACAACATAACAACTACCCTGGGTACATGGCAGAAGCTCCCAAAAACTGGGATAGAAGGGTACAAGAGGATAGCAGCACTCAGAAAACAGCTTCAATCTGCCTACCCTATGTGAAGGGATTATTGGAGAAAATACAAAGGATCTGTGGTTCATATAACATTAGGACAACCTTCAAAAGTGGTTTGACACTTCACAGACACTTCTTCCAAGTAATACTCCCATAGTGGAGAACATGACTAAGGACTGTATGTACACCATCCCATGCAGCTGTGGTACAAAGGAGAAACAGACTGCCCCCTTAAGGTAAGACTACATAAGAAAACATTGTAAAGTGGTAACACAAGAAGAAATAGAAAAATCAGGTGTAGCTGACTACATATGGAGGGAAAAGGGAGATCACTACCCCCTATGGGCTAAGGCAGAGAGCATCACTGGAAAATATGAAAACTTAAGGAATCAGCACATATGCTAAGCCACAAAAAGCTCCTGAGCTGACCAATCATAGAAATGAATACAATATGGGAACTAGTAATAAGAAGTGCTGGAGAAAAGCAATGATAATGGTAAAAAAAATGAAATAATAATAACTGAAAAAAATGCAATATGAGCACTGGTAAAAAAGGGGGATGAGACAGTAGGTTTATAACTCCTCAAAATTTATACACAGATGTCTTCAAGGACACATGGCCCAGTGAATAAAGACATTGGTTAGATCTAGTGAATAGACCCAAAGAGTTTGTGAGTTCAATACCAGGCCATAATTGAACCAAAACTTGGAGAGTTGAGTTAAAGGGAAATAATTGAGACATCCAGAAGAGGCATGGCATGTGGAACTAGAACAATCTATCCCAGTGGATGAAATAAAGCATTTGGTTTGAAATCCAATCACCTGAAGCAGGTCTGAGCATACAACAGCTGAAACCTTATGAAGATGAGGATAATAGTCTGAATAATATAATAGTGCAAGTAATCATAATACCTCATCTCAGATATATAGACAGATATTGAAGAAATATATATTTACATATATGCAATGTTGTTATTAAATATATAGACTAAAAATTCTAAATTTCTAAAAAAATATTTTTTAAATGTTAATGTATGTGGAAATTTTGTTTCAAGTAATTGTCATTATTTAAAATTACACCTGTCAAAATTAATATCATGATAGATACATTTTTGTGCTAAACTATCCAAGTCCAATTTGTATTGTGCGCGTTGTCCTTTTTTTGACCTGTTTTTCAATAATTTTGAAAAGTTCTTGTTCAAATTCATCATCTGATGTCATTTCTTCAGTTACTGTTTTTGTGTCATGGTTTGTTTTTCTTCTGGGACATTAATTTCTTCAGGATTTGTTTCAGGGTCTTTCTGCTGGAGTTTTATTCTTTTGTTTAGTGATGTCAGTCTTTTTGTGTAAAAGTATATTCTGTAGTGCATTTAGACTGTTCTGATTTGTAACTGTGTGCATATCAAGTTCTTTTTATATATATCTGTCAATAAGATCTAACCACAGTCAAGTCAACCACATGAGTGGATTATGCTCAATCCATGTCCATTCTTTTAGTTCTGGCATTGGCCGAATCATAGTGTAACAAATACATTCAATCTCATATCACCTTCTTCTCATGCAGCACTACTTATCCAAGTTGATCTGCACAGCTTCTCCATCAACTTTTCTATGATCATGCATATCAATTGAAGGTTATCTTGGATTGTCTGGCCCTTTAC